AAAAAAAATAATAATATATATATATATATATATATATATATATATATATGAAAAAGTATATTTCATGAATACATAAATTGCAGTCGGCTGTTTTTCTTTCTTCCTCAGAGTAACTCCACATAGTTGCTGACGGTCTGATTCACATTCTAGCTACTGTTCATGTGACAGATTTTATGGCATGATAGTTGAGGCTAATGGATCGTAACCATGAATGTTTAAGGAGAAATAGATACAGCGTTGGAGGCTAGCCTCCGCTGTAAAGAAATAACGCAGATGAATATATAAATAATTTTTTTTTTAAAGTATTTTTTGGGGCTATTGCCTTTATGATAGTGACAGCTGAAGACAGACAGAAAGGGGGGGGCAGAGAGAGGGAATGACACGCAGCAAAGGGCCGCAGATCGGATTCGAACCCTGGGCCGCTGCAGGCAAGGATCAGCTCGTACATGGGTCGCTAGCTTACCCCACTGAGCTAACCGGGTACCCAGATGAATATATTCTCAAGGGACCCCTTTTTTATCATTGTGTAAACCAGTGACCCTTGACTACATGACTTATTTTATGGATATTTCTCATTATATTCAATGTATAACAATAACAGTAGAGCTGATAAACTGTAAAATGAATACAAACAGTGAACACAGTAATTGCAGGAAGCCTGGGTAAAACCAGAGAGTTTTTCAGATATTTTAAGAAACTTTTTATACAATTCAATCCATTTTATACAGTCTATATTATGTATTATTTTTAAACATTTAACATACATGGGCTTCTTTGACAAGTTTTCTTGAAGCCTGTCCATTGTTCTATTGTTTAAACCCTGTTTATGAGAGACTGAAGGCTCTCTTAATATATCTTGTCTTCAGGTCTTCAAAGTTTAGATCTTAAATAATAATCTATACTTTAAAAATAACAATTTCATTTAGTTTGCTTTATATAAATGAGCAAAATACTGAGATATAGGCCTACTGCGTGTATTTTTCAAGTTTTTTTTTTCACTTCTTAAAATCAAGAAGGCCTTGTGACCCTCTGAGAAGTTTTGGCGACCCCTAGTTGGGGTTGGGAGCCTCTGCCGTAAAGCATGCAAGACTTCTGCTGGCTCTGCATCTAACTTCCAGTTTTGCCTTGCGTTAACTTGAATGTGGATTAAATGATTTATTCGTGCAGATCTTCTAGACTTTTAAAATGGTATTGGACCGAATGGATCAAATTCGGATAGTGAAACAAGTCCTTTTGCTGTCCTTCACACTAAAAACATATTATAACCAGTTTTTGTCTGGCATTTGATACCTTTATGATCACGTCAGTGGTAGAGAGTTGGCAGGAAATGAAGGGAGAGGGAGATAGGAAATGTCATGCCACAAAGATCCCCAGCTGGACATGAACAAGGGACATTGTGGTTCGCGGTCAATGCGTTAACCATGCTACCAAAAATAATTTAATGGTCTTTGGTGTTGGCATGTGCTCTACAGTAACTGGACCTCATGCAAGAACCACTTATGCAAATCGATTTGTTTAAAATAGATTTTATACAGATACGAGACACTTGAAATCGTAAATGGGGTCTTCATGACTTGGACAATGTGTCACTGTCAGACTGCACATAGTACTATACCATGATTTTTCCTTCATTGATCTAATTAAAAAGAAACATTTGCTGAACTCAGCAGGTCCTGAATATCAATTCTTTCCCTTTTTTTACTTTTTGGTCTTAGCTTGTTTGCACTGACTGCAACTTCAGCTTCTCCTGGAGCAGCTACTTTTAACTGCTGACTCCTCAGCCTTGAACTCAGAGGGCACCTCAGCCTTTTCTTCTTTTGATCAATCTCTTCTTCACTAATTATCTCCTCAGCCCAGGTATTTAGGTTGCGGTGGCACTCCTCCCTTTTGACTCTTCCCACTAGTCTTGACCACAAGCTTTTGAGTCTTTTCATTCTTTTTTTATCGCTCAGTAGCCTTTTTGTACTCTTCCAGTCAGTTGAAAGCTCAGAGAAAGATCTCTTTAACATTCGGTCCACCGATACTTTCTCCCCTCTCCAGCAGAGATAGATATATCTATCTAAATTCTGCATTGTAATTTGATTTTAAGCCAATGTCACTTATCTTGTTTGTCATTGTCATGCATGTGATTATTGCAGAATTGGACACATTCAAATGAGCTCTTTCACAAACACTGGCCCAGTCTACAAGCAGTATAGTAGCATGTGTAGTACATCCTATTTTGGGCGGTATTGTCACACACTAAAGTGATGAGTGGTGCTCTCATATAAATCCAACCACGTAGTGTGTGGTAAGTAGCTGAAAGTAGATGAAGGTAGGCCGTTTTTAGCTTCCAGACCAAACTCAGCGTAGCTATGGATATAGTTATGGTCACAGCTTGGAAATGACTTCAAATCATGGTATAAATATATCCATGCGTGCAAAGAGGATGATCCATCTGGCACAGCAAGGATCACTCAATAAGGTCTCATAATCCTTTACTGAGTGCAAAATAAGTCTGTGATATGGCTCTGGGGTCTTCCATGAGACTTCCGTCCACACAGAATGCATGCACCGGTCTTAGTGGCCGATAAATACCCCACATGACCCTTGCTCAGTATGTTAACTAAATCCTGTGTTGTGTCTGTAGTGGATGTTACGTGGCGGAGTTGTGATAGAGGTAATATCTGTCACACTGACTCATGCTCTCTATGTGAACAGTACAGTCATTTAGATTGTAGAATAGTATACAGCACATACAGGACAAATATTGAACTGTTCGGAGCATGAAGCTATATGTCTTTGTGTTTTCACCAGCCCATTCTCACTCCCAGGTCGTCAAACTGGAAGTTTGTAGGTACCCCTCCAGTATAATTTCTGGACGTACACAATGGTATAACATTTCAATATGCTGTTGAAGCCAGGTGATGGAAAGGACAATAAAGAATCTATCTATCTATAACCCTGAAAAACCCTGAGGTTGGGGTGGATGAATGGATCAAACAAGTACAGGACTTTTATTAGTAGACTGCTGTTTGTGCCCCATGTTAAACAAAAAGTCAGCGTTGACTTCTTTCTAATTTACATTATGTAAGTTACGTTACTTAAGTTACACAAATACACGTACATACAAGTACTTATTTGAACCAAGACCATGATCATTTCCTAAACCCAAGTAGTTTTTGTGCCTAAATCTTACCAAACTGGATTTAAAAAAGTTTACCTGACAAAAGTATTCGATTAATTTACAATGCCTTCACTGCCTCCCCTTAATTATATAAGTTATGTTATAGTATTATTAACTATATTATTAATTTTTAATTTGAACGGATGATTATAGATTGGTTCCATCCCAGAAAATTGATTTTCTTCTGAGGAAAACATTGAGTTAAATTAATTTGATGATCCCTTTTTGACAAATACATTTGGCGTCATGCATTTCTAATAAGACAAAGTGTCTCACTCACTATGCTTTTGTGTGTTTCTCTCCACCAGGCCCCCCGTTTATTGTATCCCCACCAGAGAACATCACAGTGAACATCTCGCAGGACGCCTTCTTCACCTGCCAGGCGGAAGCCTACCCTCGCAACCTGACCTACACCTGGTTCTGGGAGGAGGACAACGTCTTCTTCAAGAAGTAAAGTTATGATCGGGTTTATTATTGTGCACCATATCACCTCACCTGTTATACTTACACATACTGTGTCACCAGCCACTGTCAAGAGTCCTGTGTTGTGATGTTGTTTTTGTGCTGGATAGTCACTAAAGAGAGAGTACATTTCTAGTAATTGTAAGTCATATACAAGCTCTTTCACCTTGATGATCGAGTTTTTAGAATGAATGCAAAATAGCCAAACCTGGAATAAAAGCAACATTTAAACAGACACCAGTGACAATACATATTAGCCTGGCCACTTCTGTCTTTGAGTTGCTGAGGCATGTAAAATGTATTTTATTGTTGATGGATAACACACAAATCAAAAGAAAAAGTTATAAAAGAAACAGATGAGTCCCAATATCGAGATGATATTCAGCTTCAACAATCTGACGTTTATTAATTTGAGCAGACCTTCGCTGGTTAATTCCTTAAAGCTGGGGTTGGTAA